TATATATATGTATATATATATATATATATATATATATATATATATATATATACACACACACACACTCTGGTTTAGGTTTAGTTCAAATTAGTCCCAACGATATTGTATTTTATCTTGTTGATGTGTACATAGGAATAAGATTAGACCTATTGAATCTAGATTATGGATTCTCCTATCATGATAAGTTTTCCTTTTAGTTCCTATCTATTTGTACTACATACAATTTCTTCCACCAATGGTCATTGATAAGTGTCTTACTCTCATGCGATGGAGTAAGTCCGAGTAATGTGCATCTTTTTATTCTTCTTATTGCTAGGCCAAGTTGGTTCTTTTCTGAATTAATAGAGGAACTTGATATAATGTGATTCACTTTGGTTTTATATTATGGCTATCGTAATGATCGGCACTATAGGCAGAAGTAAATTTCAAAGCCTACAAAATTGTTTTATTTTCCCTGTACACATTCATGAAAAATGATACTGTCTGATTACCAGTCATTTGTTTTCATTCCAGTCTCCGGTTTTACCTGCTCCAACCAAATTTGACTAATTATTCAGGGATTCTACTAGTTGTAAAAGCAAAATTTAGAGACTATAAGAGGGTTGCAGTTTCCTGCTTTAGTTTAATTAAGTGTAGCCAGTTCCAAGCTTGAATTAAAGAGAAAAGTGGTGATAGATCATCACCACATGATGAATGTGTTGAATACAAAATTAGAGCGAAATTGATGCATATGATTTATTTGATCCTACCACAAATCCTCAATCAACTTAATCATAATAACTGACAGTCAAGTGGATATAAATCACTCTCGAACCTAAATAACTCTAAACTAGGAGCTGACTGAAAAGAACAGAGAACATTATTACATGTTCTATACATTGAATATGGGGTGAACGCAACAAAAGCTCAGCTCACCTTTAAACAACAATAGGAGAGAAGGAAAGGGTCAAAATACACACCCCCTCCCCCACCCCAAAGAAAAATGAAAGAAAAAACCAGCTAATGAAAAAAATATTAGAGAATACAGTTCGTAACACTCTCATGCCACAACGAAAGACTATCTAATCACAACCAATTCACTATTCCTACAACCAAAAGAACAGGCCAAAGACAGTTTTAAATAGAAAGGGGG